AGAAATACAAATAGATTTTAGATTACCTACCATTATTAGAAGAAAGCTCATAATAGATTGGACGGATGAAAATGCTTCGAATAACTTTCTCTCTCCTATCTCTCCCTTTATTTCTTCTTCTCACTTGGCCAATCAAAGAAGAAATGGGGAGGGGATGGCCAAGATGATGGGTTTAAGTAAATGGGTAATGATATTTTATTAAAAAATATTTTTTTTTCTAACCCAGTGTTGTTGTAGCCACAACTCGGTGGCACTATGCTCATTTATTTCCCCAAAGAGCCAAGTGCTCAATGTCATAACACTGTCCAACATGAAATTATTGGGTCAGGTCACTAGACGTGTTTGGAGCCCAATGAAAATACACCACATCACCTCCTACTCGGTACTGAGCTCGATACTGAGCAGTACCAAACAGTACCGAGCTCGGTACTGCTCAATATCGAGCTCACTACTGTTCGGTACTCAGTACTTCACAGTACCAAGCTCAATACTGCTCAGTACTGTAAATATCGAATGTAAGCTGTCCGGTGGCCTGGCCCAAATAATTTCCCCATCCCAAGGCCCGAGAGTTCCATCAAACCATTTTCTAAAATTTTAGGAAAGTGAAATTTGAGGTTATTACTTATTACACAATGGCACCCTTATGTTTGCCTACAAATAACAAAACTTGAAATAAACATCGATCACCAACAAGATAAGGAATGTGGGCCAGGACCTTACCTCACTAGGCTGAATTGGAAGACACCAAAAAATATTATTGGAATATTATCTGCAGTGGTGGAGTTAAAAAAAAAAATTAGAAGGGGCATTAATTATCAATTTTAAAAATATATTTAACTTTTTTTATTCGGACGACTTCGGATTGATATTGGTTGTTTAAAAAAAATAGAGTTGTTAACATAAAAATATATATTATATAAAAAAAATTTAATAAAGAACGTCTAGTATAATTAAATAAAAAATAAATCTATTTTAATAACAATAATATATTAAAAAATAAATAACAATTCTTATATAAAAATTTTAAATTATTTGAATAAATATTTAAGTTTCTTTTAAAGAAGAATAAATAAAAATAAGAAAATCAGAGACGGTTCGCTTTTTCCCATCTCCACTATTTGTTGCTCTTCTCCTTCCCCTCCTTGGCGTACATGTATGTTAAGGACTCAGACACGCCATTATACTGTTGTACTTTCTTGATTAAATTCTTTACTAGTTATCTCTATATATACATGTTTTTAGCTTGTAATAGACATCCAGACAATACAATTCTCCTTTCTTTTCCTTTCTCCGTTTCGACTTTCTCATCTGTTCCTGTCCGCGTCTGGCAACTTCACATGGTATCAGAGCTTAAGAGGTCTTCATCGTCTTCTTGATTTTCATGGCCTAAGAAGATTCGGCCGGCTCTCACCAGATGACGTCAAATGTTTCTCATCAAGAAACTGAGCTGCTCATTCTCTCCCACCTCAAATTTCTTATTTCCAATATCAAGAATCTCGTCCCAACTCTCCTCACATCCGAGAACTGTGCAATATGGAGGTTGCAACTGCATCAGCATTTCTCCGCAAATGGGTTCGGTGAACATCTCACTGGATGTGCTATATGCCCGCCGGAATCTGGCTTCACTGAACATGTTCGTTGGAAACTGATAGATCAAAATATTGTATCTGCTCTTTTGTCTACAATTTCACCCTCAATTCTTCCTTATGTTCTTAATCTCAAAACCGCTCATGACATCTGGATCACTCTCGAACGACGTCTTCAACCCATAAATTACTCTCGCGTCATTCAGCTCAAGAACAAACTCCATCAAATTTAGATGAAAGATCGTACGATGCAACAATATCTTGATCAAATCAAGACAATTGTTGACAACATAGCGGCGGCCGACTCTACTGTCGATACTGAGGACATTGTTCTTTATATTCTTAACGGTTTACCCATGATCTATAATCCTTTCAAGATGGCTATACGAACTTCGCTTCAACCGATAAGTCTTGACTGTCATGACCCAACCCGACCGGAACGAATCCTTTCACGTCGGGTCGCGACGGATAGAAATCCAGGATCTAGTTTTGGAATTTGCTTCAGAACTTTCTTTCAAACACTTGAACAAACAAAAATACAGAGCTACTATTAACTTCCAATATACATATAACTAAATTTGTTATTTTCTTCTTTATTTCTCTTTTTTATTAAAATAATAATGTACAATACAGTGCATTGCTACAAACGGAAATAACATAACAGAAAAGTCATGACTGTACAAAAATCAAAAGTACAAAATACCTAATCTCAGATCAGACACAGAACAGCTAGTCCAAGACTTCATTCCCTTTCCCAGAATCTGAAGACCATACAGAAAGTAAGGATGAGCTAACAGCTCAGCAAGACTACACTCACCAATCAAAATCTTCGGAAATTCACATCAGAAAATGCATCATAAGCAGATATTCCAGTAGACGGAAAGAAATCGTATAGAAATCATATAGTCATCAGAATACAGACACTTGCTCAAATAAAAGTCACATCACTAATATAGAAAAACAGAATTCACTTCATAAACAAAAATCGTACAGAGCGAATATAATCTTAAAGAACAAACATAATCGTAGAGAACGGACAGAATCGTACAGAACAAACAAAATCGTACAGAACAGATAGAATCGTACAGAACATACATAATCGTACAGAACAAATTTCAAATCAAATAAAAATCACATTTTAGATATCATATTTCACATATCACATATCAGATATCCCTGACCCTGACAGAATCTTGACGGATTCTGTCCCTTTATGCCTCCCTTCCCTGACACTAACAGAATCTCAAATTCTGGCCCCTTATACCTCCCTTCCCTGACACTGACAAAATCTCAAATTTTGGCCCCTTATGTCTCCCTTTGTGCTTATAGCACCAGAATAGAACATATATACAGAATTTTCAAAATAGAACTTATTTTCAGATTTCTCATATTTTCAGATTTCCCGGACCCAGATAACGGAATCACAAAGGATTCCGGCCCCTTATAACTCCCTTCTGATATCACAGCACATCAAAACATTCAAATCAGAAAAATTGAATACTTCAAAAAATTCGTCAGCGGCATAACTGCAGTATATGAAATTTACACAAAATTCACAAATTCAGAAATTTACCCAATTACCACATATAGTACACAACATCATTTTAAGACTTTCATTATACTGAGACAGTAAATTCAAACATCCAGATAAATTATTATTCGATCAAAACTCAGCAGAATTCAAAATACCCGGTAAAAATATTCCAGAAAATACTCAAAACGTGCACAATTATCATCTCAGAAACATACCAAAAGTTACGCGGTAAAATCTTTATCAGTACAAAACAGAACTATATCATCTCAGCTATGCGCCTCCATCCAATCCAAGAGCACTTACGGTTCAACAACAAAATGCCGTCACCAATGACTGGATCTTGGATTCAGGCTCATCGTCGCACCTTACCTCCGATGTGACGAATCTTCAACATTCAACGCCATACAATGGTTTCGATTCAGTCTCTATCGCGAACGGCAGCACATTACTGATTCAAAACTCGGGTCAAGGCATTTTGCCTCTTCCTAAGTCTCACTGTAAGCTTCATCTTCGGAAAATTCTGCACGTTCCCTCTCTCTCGCATAATCTTTTATCTGTCTCTCGTTTAACTTATGATAACAATATTTCAATTTCGTTTAATGCTAATAACTTCTTTGCCTCCTTTGACGACATTCCTCAAAATTGGGCGATTTACCACAAACTCGAGGCATTGCTACACCTTGTCGACCACATTTGCCCATCGGCTAGCCACCACTAGTTACCACCGTTGGCCATTGCTGGCCACAACCAGCCACCACCGTTGGCCACCGCCTTTGGACACTACGACCGACCAGCCATCACCGACCACCGCCGACCACCGCCAACCACCATTGGCCACCATCGCCTGCGAACACTGGCTACCGCCTCCAACCACCACTAGCATTCACCACCAGCCGCCGCCTCCGGCCACCCTAGCCATCACTATTCACTTTACATCAAATCACTTTAGTTCAAACAAAAAAAGGTAATCTCACCCAAAACCTTTTACGTTCATAAAAAAAAATTCCTTTTTTACATTGTATTATTTTTACACTCCGTTCTTTTTCCAGACAATCAAATAGCTTTGAAGTAAAGGACATCACAAGATAAGAAGGATAAAAACTTTAGGAGAGCTAACGACAAAAACCTAAAAAAGATGGGGCGTGAAAATTCAGTGAGGAGACCCTTGAAGATTAGAATTGGTAATTTAGGGGTGCAACCGAGTCAAGCCGACTCGCCTATTGACTCGAGCTCGACTCGGTAATATGCTCGATGAGTCGAGCTAATCGAGCTCGCGAGTCAAGCTTGAACACGATTTTGAGCTTAAGCTCAAACAAACCACTGTTTGACTCGCGAGCTCATCGGGCAACTCGAGTATGAAATCAGCAGTGGGGAAATGAAATCACGCATGGGAAAATGAAATCGTGTGCAGGGAAAATTAAGGGCGACGACGCAAGCTGGACGGAAGCTCAACTAACGAGGACGGAAGCTCGATGGACGAAAGCTCGACGATGCAAGACAGATACACGAGAAGTTGGCGACGATGCGGACGTTGGTGACAGATTCTGGCACTGGCGACAAATGTTGGCATGACGGACGGATTGAGCTCGAAATGACACTCGAGCAGCTCGAAAAGCTTTTTTTTTCCTTTATTGAGCCGAGCTCGAGCTCGACTTTTGAGTTCAACTCGAGTATGAGCTCAAGCTCGATATTTGACAGTCGAGCTTAATTCGAACACCTTTTGAATCAAACTCGGCTCAGCTCATTTGTATCTTAACTCGGCCTCTTATGTCGCAAGGGATCTTTAGCGGTTCGCGTGAGGCGGTCGAGGCCCTGGGGCTGGGACCGGCTCGAACTGGTTGTTCGAGTTGGTTTTTTTTTGGGGGAAATCTTCGAGTTGGTTACAGTTACGCACTAACGTAGACTACGTAGTTTCAACTAGCATATCTCCTTTCACTGCTATCCGTCATCGCGGCAGCGAATGAGTTCCTTGACTTTCCAAATTCTTTCTTTGCGCGGCTTTTGCTCTGCAGTTTCTGAGTTAGTAACTGTTCGTCTTTCCGAAATCTCCACGAAATTCGTCGAAAAGCATTATTCAAGAAATTTCTCGGCTTTTTAGGGTTTTCAAGGATATATTGGTTGAGTTTTCAGAAGTAAATTGAAGCTTTCAGTGATTATCAATCCACACACACTCACTTTTATCAGAGAGCTTGTTTCAAGCTCTCGATTCCATATGGCATCATCGCCGTTCAAGTCCGCATCGGAGCCAGCCGTACTGGAGAAGCTTATCACCGATTTTTTCGCCAAAAGTGTACATGTTATTCTTGAATCAAGGTCTTCTGCCCGAAACTACAATGCTGAGCCTTTCAACTCATCTCCTTCCTCCTCGCCTTCATTGAACATCCGGCCAGGGGAAAAACGGATCAACTTGGCCCTCAGAGACTGTCCTACTGCCCTAGAGAGCTTTGATATGTGGCGGCAGAGCAACCTTGAGCCATTGGTTCTTGACATAGTCTTGGATCGTAGGAAATCAATTCGGAATGCGAATTGTGCTTCTCCTGGTGGGATTTTTGTGCGGAATCTCTCTTCGGGACGAGATGAATTTGGCCGTCTCAATAGAAGTGAAACGATTGTGGAGAGGTGGATTGTGCAGTACGAAAGTCAAAGTATAAGTCAACCCGGAAGGGAATCTTCTTATCGAGGAAGTAAGAAAGGTAGCAGGGCTACATACCATTCATCTGAATTCCAGATCATGTACAAGAAGGCTTACAGAAAGATCATGGTTCTGCTTAGATCTCTGTATGTTATGGTTAGGCTTTTGCCGACTTTTAAGCTCTTCAGGGATCTCAATGCCTCGGGTCAGGTACACCCATATATACTTTCTCATAGAATTTCTTCGATTGCTGAGCCATTCAGTCGAGAGGAAGATGCTCTGATGAGCCAACATGACTTTGGGCAACTTGAATTTTCTTTTGGAAAATTGTCCATTTTTGTTGCCTATTTGAAGACACTCGAGGATCTGAGCTCAGGGCCTTCCACTCCCATATCTACAGAATTTATAATGGATTACGTGGGGAGCCCAGTGGTCGATCCTCTGAAGAGGTTACTATCCCTTCCTACTGCTGGATCAGCACCTTCACATGCTTCATTTAGCCGACAGCATAGTTGGAGCAATGATCATGAAGAAACTCCTTTTTCTCCTACTCCATCACCCACATATTCTGATTCTCAAGCTTTGTATCATAATTTAAATCCCTGCCTCCCCCCTCGTTATATTTTGCCTAAAAATTCTACCACGCTATGCTCCATCTCATGCGTTTCATTTGCTGGCAATGCAAAAAATATTAGTGAGTACTGGCCCTCACCGCCATTTTCACCGTCATCTTCTTCCCCATCTAGTCCAACCCATCCATATAGTGCCTTTTCGCAGTCGGAGGGTGCTTCGGTTAGCATTCCGTTACCTTGGCAGAAAGGAAGTGATGGAGGTCAAAATCAAGGTCTGTCTCCATCTCCTTATTATAAGAGCAAGAGGGAGGGAAGGCCTTCTCAAGTAGATACCCTTCGAGCTCAAGAAAACACAACATCTGCTCTTAAAAAGTTTTCACCAGAAAATAAGCCGCAATTAAAGATTGAATCCTCAAGGTTCATGGAGTTTCAGACTAGTATGGTACCACCGAAGGTATCAATCATCTTACATCTTAGTTTAGGGTCTAAAACATAAAGTTCAATAATTAAACACTCACCCATTTATTAATTTGATCAATTGATCTACACCATAGTTTACTTGTGTGGTACCACACATGTAGGGTTTATTCATTTGATTACCAGTGTGACCTAGTATTCGTAGTTTAATCATTTTTGTTCTGCCTAATACTTGAACGCTCAAACTATTAGTTAATCTCATCTTGTAGATCTTATCTACTACACAAAGTGTTATTGCACATAGTGTGCTTTTAAGCCAACAATAAACTTGCACTTTCTACTCTAGAATGTTGTTCATATCTGCTTTTGAGTTGGTTTTGAGTCTTCCGTTATAGATTGAATCTACTGGGAGAGAGCTCAACAGCTTGAGAACTCCGTACAGTCCACCACAAATATCATCTAGAAGTTCAAGCAAGTTGTCTTTCATGGATGAGTTTGATGACTCTGACTTTATCTGCCCTTTTGCTGAAGATGATGAGGTGTCAAATTCATTCAGGTATTCTCTTCTGTGCTCAAATGTGAAGTACTCATATTCTTCCCGCACCTGAAATTCTAAACCTGATGCAATATGGTGCCATGTTCCTTCTATTTCCTTATGATTAATGTGTTATATAACTACATGGCTGTAAAATTTATGAGATTTCTTAAGAAAACTCCCAATAATTTGATGTTTCTATAAGAAATGATGATAGTTCTAAAATTTTGTAAAAAAGGTTAATTTTATATCTTATTTTGAAAAAAGGGCAATAAATCATACATTCCAGGGTTTCTTAAAACCTTAGTATAATTTGTTTTGAAAATCTGACATAAGAACTCTAGTAGTATTATCATGTTTTTATAACAAATTGTAGTATTAATGCAGGATTTCGAGGAACCTTGACGTATGTACTAGGTTTTAAAAAATAGCCTGTAGAGCTTTCCCTTAGAAAAACCTGAAATCCTTTCTGCTGGGTCTAGCCATTATTTAGAGCTTGCTGAGGATTCAGAGCTTGTTTTCCCTAGTTTAAAAATGCCTAACTTGTAGGCTAGAGTTAATTTTTCTTTATTTACAAAATATGATAAACGATTGTTCTTGCTTACAAAGTTTAAAACTATTGCCTTTTTCATAGAAGTACCAAACTCTAGGTAGTTTTATACAAATTCCATATTTCATTCCTGACCTTTTGTTGTAGATGAATAAAAAAAGAATAGTGCTGATTTTCATTTTAGAATCTCTATGCTCAAAATCTAATTTAGTTTGCAAAATGACAGTCTCCTTCAGATAAAATTGGTGCCCTCTATTTCTGTATCTATTTATTTATATAATAATTGTCAAATTCAATTCTAAAATTTTCAATTCATGCATAATATAACATAATTTACTCTATATAAACCATCTTATTTAGGAGATCTAACGATTGATCAACTGAACAAATTTACCAAAAACGTGCTTACTACACTCAACAAGTCAATAGAGCAAGAAAACATCATATTATGAATTAGTCAAGTGAAATGTCTTCATTTGATTCAGATTTTTGATCATGCATTATAAGATTCCACCATGGCCGAAACAATTAATAGCATAGGTGACCAATCTCACTCTATAACAGGAGATGTGATTGTCCCTACAACAACAACAACAACATCAAGCCTTTATCCCACTACGTGGGGTCGGCTACATGAATCCTTTTTCTCCGTTGTGTCTTATTAAAAGTCAAATTCTCATTTAAATCTAATAAAGAAAGGTCATTCCTAATATTTTCTAACCAAGTCTTTTTAGGCCACTCATCCACCTGAGCATCCTCATCTCTGCCACACTTAACTTAGTATTATGCTTCTCTTTTAATGGCCAACATTCGGCACCATAAAGCATTGCAGGCCTCACTACCATCTTATATAATTTTCCCTTAAGTTTGAGGGGTACATTTCTATCACATAACAAGCCCGATGCATTCCTCCACTTCAACCATCCAACTTGAATTCTGCTGATAATATCTTCATCTATTTCACCATCACTCTGAACAATAGATCCAAGATATCTAAAACGTGTACTCTTATTAATGACTTGATCGCCCAAAGTCACGATCCCCTCACTAGGTCTATTACTACTAAAATTGCAATCCATATATTCCGTTTTAGATCTACTCAAGCGAAAACCTTTAGACTCTAAGGTTGACCTCCATAATTCAAGTTTACCTTCAACTCCCTCTCTAGTGTAAGATTAATTTATGTTAATCCATACCAACAATTATAGCAAGGGAAAGTACATTTTGTAGATATCAAGTTTAAATAAAAACATAACATTAAATTATGAGATTACATAATAATCTTAGAAGTTCTTTTATGCTACTGCCTTATCACATCACTACTAGGGATGCAAGCTCGGATTATTCTTAACATAGGGCCAAACGATGTATGCCCTTTCTTCCAAAAAAATAGTACAGGCAAACAATATATTTCTAACCTCTAAATAGACCATATTACTAACACATAGCACACCTAACTCAAAGCCTACAAGAGAATCCTCTAACTAGTCAACTCATGAAAAATCTAAAGGCATAAAAATAAATTTTACTTTGCATAAACCTCATCTCCAACATTCAAAGAAAGCACAAGAGCTAAGTATCATCTCTTGCTAGGCACACCTTTAAGATTAGTGGATGGTGGAGTAATGAAACTAATTATGTGCTTACCTCATGTCTGCATCAGTCTTGCAAGGTTTTGATGTAGGGAAGATTGATATATATATATATAATCGTTCATCTTAGAATGCTTTATGCTAGATATATCAAGCCTAAAATAAACAAAACTATTTATCCAATCCATGAAATCTAGTATACGATCTCACTATTGATTAGGGTTGTAAATGAATCAAACATTTGACATGATAATCATAGCTCAATTGAATTAGAGTTTGTTCATGATCACTTGATTAAATAATCAAACAAGCTTGAACACTTTTAGAAATACTCAATTATTAAATGAACAAGCTTAACTAATTTGTTACTTGATTCATTTGTGATCATGAATAATAATTTTTATAGCTCTTGATCAAGCTCACTCAAAAGATTAAGACTCGGTATAAAGTTAATTTTCCTTACATATATGTATAGAATAAAAAAGATAAAAAAGAAATCCTCAAATTGAGAAAGTTAAAATAGTATTTAATTAAAAAATCACATCATTTTTTTCTTATTTTTAATAATTATCTTAACATCTAATATATTTTTTTAATAAATTAAAGAAGTCTTACAAAATGTTAATATCTTTCAATCTTAAAAATATAGTATTATTAAAAAAATTGATCAGCATACCTCTTCGATCCCACGCCCACACCCATTTACTTTCTCAGCTTATGTCTTGTTCTATAGAAATTGCTCATTTACTATCTTTTTTCTTTAGTTTGACATTTAACTTGGTACTCTTTAAATTGTATTACAAAACTCAATTGTTTGCGCTTGTAACTCACATGAGGGATATGCTAAGAGTTGGTGGGATTTGGTGAGTGATTCGAGTGAATATGCTGGACAAGATCTTAAGGCTTGTTTTACAAGCTCATTAAATTAAAATCTTTTTTTTTTAAGCTCGATAAGCTTGGCTTGACAAGGCTTAATTTTTGTTTTCAAACGAGTTACTCGTTTAAATGTCAATATGTAGAAATTGAACTAAGCTCGAGTTGAGCTCAAACAAAGATAGAAATGGCATGAATTTGAATGAACCAAACTTCAATACTATCACAAAATCTCGAATCAAGATCAAGGAGTTCTTGAATAAAGTTTTGATAAACGAGCTCAAGCTCAAACAACCTTTTGCTTTGCTTGGGTTTCTTTTGTAGCCCAATTGTTGATTACTTATTTTACTTACCAATCTCATAATTAAATCTACTTCCTAATCTTCCATAGTTATACAAGCACGCCCTATCTAATGTTTTTAAGAGATTTCAATGTCATTAGAGCGGAGGTGGAATGTTAAGAATTGGTGGAAGGCTAAAAAATATTATTGACTAGTTTAGAATTTTTGGCAGATTTCTAGTTGAATTTTTTTGGCAGTTGAAGATTGAACTTCTTTGATTAAAAAGGGCTAGAATCTCCTAGTCAAAGTTTTGGGATATTATTTAACTTATGATCTTCATTTTAATCAATTAGATGTGTGCTTAAGAAATTATGAATTTTTTATGTGGATTGGTCTTACCTGGTGAACAATACGAGTTAGGATTTTGTGAAAGGGGTATGACTTAATTTTTATGAGGTTTGAAGTGCGTTAAAACTTTAGGAAGGTGGTTGGGGATAGAGGAGAATAAACAACATGCAAAAGAAATGATTTGTTATGATTTACAATCCTTAAAAAAGTTGGCACCATTAACTTTTTATAGACACAAGATTTTGTAAGAGATCTTATTGTTTTTTATTGGATTAATTAGGGATAAATAGTACATAGTGTTACAGAAAAAAGAGAAAAACAAAAGAAGATACACTAGAATTTCCTTTTCGAGATTTGATTCTTAAACTATCATGCAACTCCTTAAGCTCTCTCTATTTAGAAATAAATAAAATCATATGAATTTAAAGGATTCAATTAAATATTAGATGTTTCTCTTGAATCCTTAATTTAAGGCTTTTAGCTAATTGATATTGTTCCAAAATAGTTTTTACGTTTAAAATATTATCTTCAAACCTCATATGGTCAACACTCCTACTTAAAAAAATAAGATTAAAAAAAAAAAAAACAAGGCACAATTAATTTTCATGATATTGAACCTTTGAGATTGATCTTGTGAAGGCCTCCTTGTTTATCTTGCATCAAATGGTCATTAGAAGACTAAGGCTTCGTTTGGGACGACTTTTTTAATGCTTTCTAAAACAGCTTGCTAGTACAAAAATTTATAGTTCAAGAAACTTTTGTACTAAAAAATTGCTTTAAAAAGAAATAAGAAAGACGTCCTAAATGAAGCCTAAATAATGTTGATATATGTCCCAACATCGATAAAGTTATATATTCATGAAATAAACACATATAGAGATAATTGAGGAACCCTTTTTTTCTTAATTGAGGAACCATTAGTATCATAACTAGCATGCCTTAGGGTAAAGACATCGAAAATAGCTATGTCGGTTAATTTTTCTTCGCTCGAAGCCTTTTCGTTATTTAAAGCAATGAAATGTTATACTGAGTCAATGAAAAGGTTACATGTACGCAAGCATTCATAAGGAACTTGCAATAGAAAAAACAAAAGACAATACATTGGACCCACATAACTTAAAAGTTAAGCGATTAATATTTATTAATGCAGATAGAAGCAAGCCCGCATTCAGCCACCTGAGAAGTTCAGAAGGCCAAAGTTATCATTAGAGTTATTGTGTCTAACTTGGAATCTAGTAAATTTTGGAGAATGTAGAAATTATTTTTTATTTGTGCCTCAACCTAAAAATGTCATTAATCAATGATGGAATATTATGAGCCAAATAGCCAATAACAAAATCATCTGATATCTATAGTCACACATTCATGCATATCATGCATGACCAGAAATTTAGATATTTCACATGTAAGGTATTAGCTATTAGGTACACCTGGTTGCACTATCGATAGAAAATGGGTTTAAGGCCTCCCCATAGGATCCGCCAACTCCTACAAAATAAATTAGAAGGAACTTGTCGACAAAGCTCTAACGTTAAAATGGCATTTGAGTGTTCTAGAAACTCATCTTTCCACATCATATCATAGAAATGTATATCCATTGATGATTAATTACGAGGTAATAAACATAAATGGTTTAAGTTACAATAGGATTTAAAAAGTTCAACAAGGTTTTAAAACTAAAGTTTGGCTTGCTATTGTGTTTGAAGCTTGGAAAATGATTCATTGCATCATTCCTGTTGTGAATTCATATTTTTTAGTGATCTACATTCATTGTATTATTCTAGTCGCATTAAAAATCTCAAAACCTTAAGCCGTGCCTCAGATTTGTTTTTTTTTTTTTCTTTTTAATATAGAGCACATCCAATGATTTCTTTGATAAAATATTTCAATTTCATGATCTACATTCAATGCATGATTAATTCCTTAAACTTTTAAACGAATTTCTATCTATAAAGAAAGCTTTTTTATCTTTGTTAACATTCCTTAATAGTGCATAGATAATATGAGCAAGTATGATGCCCTTTTACCTGTTGTGTGTGGATACAAATTTCCATATAACTTTTCCTTTTTTGAAACTCTCCCTATTTTGAATCCCCTTTTCTATTTTCCCTCATACTCCCTTTGGTAAGGGAAAAGGGAAAGCATACAATTGTTTGTATAACATAAAAGTATCAAAATTCACTTTCTGGGGAGATATTCTAGCTGAAAGCAACATGCAACGGTAATCACATAAAAAATTAAGCTCACCGGTTGCTTATTTTGATCCCATAACAAGTCTATCTTGTATTTTGTAACACCCCCATAAGTTTAAACTTTACAAACAAAGATATGTAAACTTCCCACCGATGTATTACTTTAAATTTTTGTAGTGGTTTTGTAAATATCTCATATTGAAATTTAAAGTTATTATCTGCTTCCGTTTGATGAGATGAATGAGAACTGAACTGTTGGATGTGTCATAAAGATTATCAAATGTTCAAAAGTATTGTATGATTATATGATGAAATGTTTATGTCAGTAATACTCCATATACTATTAAGGGGTACTATGAGATGTTACATATTTAATATGATGCTTTCATAGGGTTGAATCTGCCGTCAGCAACGATTGTTTTGCTGAGAACTTGTGTCCTAAGAAGTCGATGGCCATTAGAAGATCGCCAGATGCAGCTGTTGGTGAGCTTGTATGGATGCTTAGGAGTGCACCACCACTGCGGCTTAACAATTCCAACCCATTAAGATCAAAGCAAGTCTTCAAAGATGAAGTTTCAAGCCAGAAAAACCTGCAGGGCAGGATTGAAAATACTAAGGAAGATGATTTGAATAAGGTTGATGGTACTTTGTGTTTGGATATTACAGCTTCAGATCTCTTCAAGTCAAGGACTGCTGCTGATGCATTTAAAGAACTCCAGACATATAAGAATATCAGGGAATTGATACTTAAGCATGGTGGATCCTGAGGGCGAGATTTTGAATATATTGCAAAATCATATTCGGGAGATGCATAAAAGGCTGTATGATTTCATTTTATTTGTGTAAATATGTACGTCGTATAATTTTACATTAAGGTTTCGTTTGGGACGGTTTTTTTACTGTTTCTTAAAACGAAGTTCTAGTCGCATTTTTGTACCAGAACTCCGTTTTAAGAAGCATTAAAAAAGCCGTCCCAAACGAAGCCTAAATTACCAAATCTCATATGCTGTTTAAGGCATGTATATTCCTTCGTTTCGTTTCTTAGAAAGGGTAGGGTGCTTAAACCACATGATTAACACAAAAAGAACGTTAAATGTATATTCTGCTAAAATGAGAAAGACTGATTGGTCACTGATATGTCATGTTTTAAACCATTTCCTAACCTATGTTTCATAAAGGCATTTTAATTCTAGCTTTATTAATGACTTTTGCTGAGACTTTTAATCCGATTATTGTTTGTGATATCATGATGAAATTTGATATCTGCTGCTCAATCTTCTTAATGAATGGTAAAATCAAGCTTCAGGAGCAGTCAGAATAAGAACAAGGTAGATGCACTTTGAATCAGTTGCATAAAAGCAAAAGTGCTTTATTAGCCATGTGAAATAATTCTTTTTTTTTTTTTAATTATACTGTTATCCTCAGGTCCCAAGCCCGGAATGAGAAAATGTAGGTAGTTGATAACTAGTGTAAAATTTGTAGAATAATCATAACATGAATCATTTAATACATCGTACTAATATTAGGGCGTTCCGTGGAAGTGATGCATTATATGGGTTGAATACAACAAAAAGTGTACAAGGCTTGTTGCCCCAGTGCTTGGGTGCAATATTAAATAAAAAAGGGTTCTCATATTATGAACGGATGTTGGTAAAGAAGTTAATTTAAAAATCATAATTAGGATATGAATTTGTAATATATGTATCCTAATAGGCAAAATAATATATTTAATAAATATTATGATTCATTGGAAGATGAATATTATATATATTCAGAAAATTAAATGGGTTGGGAAAAAGGCTAAGGAGATTGATAGATTACGATTGAAATTATGGTATTCATGTAATAGTCGTACTAAAAATGATATCGTTGTAATTATTAATAAGAGCTTGAAGGATAATGTTGTATAAATCAATAGAATTGGAGAAAGAATTATCGCTCTAAAAATTATTATTGATGCTAATATTATTAATGTTATAAGTGTTTATGCTTCTTTAGTAGATTTAGATGTGTTCAAATATAAAATTTTGGAATGATTTGAAAGAATTAATATAAATGATACTTTCTGAAGAATAAATTTTTATTAGAGTAGATTTAAATGAACATGCTGGTAGTGTGGTAGAAGATTTTGAAAGAATTTCTTGTGGTTATGAGTTTGGAGCGACTAATAAAGATGATAATATCATATTAGATTTTGCTTTAGTTTATGATTTTATAATTGTTAACGCTTTATTTAAGAATAGAGAAGAGCATCTCATCACTTATAAGAATAGATATAATAAAACTCGGATTAATTACTTTTTTATTAAAAAAAGGCTATTTAGATTGCAAAGATTGTAAAATAATCTTAAGTGAAAGTATATGCATCAAATATCATTTATTAGTTTTGAACTTTAAGATGAATGAGTGAAAAATTAAAAATAGATTAAAATATCATCTTATGATTATATGAGGTTATTTAAAAAACCCTAATAAAAATATTTTGAGTGTAAGATCCAAAATCTTAAGATTTGGATAGTTCATGAGGAAGCTAATGTTATGTGAAAAAAAAAACTAATGAGATTAAGAATGTTGTAAGGTATGTACTTGGGGAATAAAAAAAAGCTCTTAATTTTAAAAATAGTTGGTGGTGGAATAAAACCATGCAAAAAAAGATAAAAATTGAAAAGCTCTATTATAAAAATTGGTTTGAATGTAAAAGTTTAGAAAATTTAAAAAGATATAAAGTGGTCCATAGGGAGTCTAAGAAAACAGAATGTGATGCAAAAAAATTAATTTTTCGTAATTTGTATAATAAATATGATGTCTATATAAGTTAGTAAAACAAAAAGATAGGAAAAGTAAGGATTTAGTTCAAGTGAAGTACATTAAGGATGAAGATCAAAAGGTATTTTTTTTAAATGATAGTTAAAATAGGTGGATGAGATATTTTTATAAACTTTACAATGAAGGCTGTGAGAAGATGATTGACTTTAGTGTCCTTAGCACCTTAAATGAAAATAAGAATTTTTATTTTTATCGTCGTATTAGTAAAATCGAAGTTGGAGAGGCTTTAAAGAGAATGAAGTGTGGAAAAGCAGTATGACTTGGTGATATTCCAATAGAAGTGTGAAAATGCTTAGGAGATCAAAGAATTTCTTGACGTACTAAACTCTTTAATAATATTTTGAAGACTAAGTAGATGTTAGATGTGTGGAGAAAGAGTATATTGAATTTTATTTTTTTGAATAAAGATGATACACAAAAGTGTTCAAATTATAGATGAATTAAGTTAATATGTAATACATTAAAATTACGAGAGAGAGTAATTGACCATAGGTTATGACGTGATACTACTGTTTCTCAAAATTAGTTTGGATTCATGCCGCGTAGGTCTATTATGGAAGCTATACATTTGCTAAAAGGTTTTATGGAGAAGTACAAAGAGATTAAGAATGATCTGCATGTGATATTTATTTATTTAGAGAGAACATATGATAAAGTTCCATGAGAAGTACTCTCGAGAGTTCTAGAAAAGAAAGGAATTAATAATGTTTATATTTAAGTTATTAAGGAAATGTATAAATAAACTATTACTAGTGTTCAAACACAGATTGTTTGACCAAACATTTTCCTATTTCAGTTGGATTACATCAAGATTAGCTTTAAGACCATATCTTTTTACAAGAGGATGTACCTTGGTGTATGCTTTTTGATAATGATATTCTTCTTGTTAATAAGACTAGAGAGGTAGTTCATGAAAACTTGAAGGTTAATCTTAGAGCCTAAAATTCTTCATTTTAGTAGATCTAAAATCGAATACATTGTGCAATTTTAGTAGTAATAAATCTGGTGTGACATTGAGTGATCAGGTCATTAAAAAAAGTGCATGTTTTAGATATCTCGGGTCTATTGTTCAAAGCGATGGTGAAATATATGGGGATATTATTAGTAGAATTCAAGTTGGATGGTTGAAGTGGAGGAATGCATCGAGGCTGTTGTGTGACAAAAAAGTACCCCTCAAACTTAATGGAAATTTTTATGAGATGGTAGTGAGATCTGTAATGTTTTTATAGCACACAATGTTAGCCATTGAAAGAGAAGAAGCATAAAAGTGAAGTGTTGTAGAGATGAGGATGCTCAGCTGGATGAGTGGCTTTACACTTAGAAGCAAAATGCGAAATGAGTATATACTTAAAAAGGTTGGAGTAGCTCCAGTGGCAGATAAGATTATAAAGAGTTACCTTAGATGGTTTGGTTACATAAAACATCAGCCTTCCGATGACCCTAATATGAGAGTAGATTTAGTAGATCCAACCTATGTTAAAAAAGGTAAAAGTAGATATAAAAAGTCTTGGTTAAAAATATTTAAAATGAATTTTTTATTAAATTTAATAGAGAGTTTAACTCTTAATATGACACACTAGAGAAAAATAATTCATATAGCCTAGATCCCACATAGCGGGATGAAGGCTTATTATTGTTGTTGGTTCTACAAAACAAGGTAACCTACTAAAAAGTTCTCAAGGAACCCCTGTCCAAAAGGTCTAGGGCCAAACTAAAAGCCTTGAAAACTCCTGCAGACAAATTTATACATGATTTGAGCTTAAGCAAGTTTGTACATAACACCATAATTTTGCTCAACTCCATTAAGAGTCTTGTTATCATAGTAGACAAGCATTTGCTCTTTTTTTCCCTACTTTATATTAGTATTGAGCTTATTGTCAAGTCACTAACTTCTTGTTCAATCAGCAATGGTATGTCCAGGTTAAGATTGCTATGGGGTAACAAAGAAGCCAATTTTGTTTAAGGAATTTGTATAATTCTCTAACTTTTTTAGTACCTTGCAAAGTGGAGCTTTCTCCTAACTAAGAGATAAAATGGCTCAGACCAGCTAACTTTCAAGCCAAGTTTCAAACCTGCTTTACCTAGCCAAGGGAGTTCATATCAAGTACTGCTTGAATTTTGTCTAAGATGATGTAGATACCATCTTGAGTTAAAAACATTGAACCTCGTATTGTATATCCTTAATGCTATGAATGTCTTAGAGAGGTCTTGAAAATGCCTGGTCAAACTGATATTTTTCATGAGAAGGACATCACATGTATTGAGGTTTGTATTATTATATTGAAGTCACCATGAACTTCTTTGCAATGCTACTTATGAACCATTTCCTCTAGTGATTGCTTCTATAATGTCAATATTTTTTATCTGCTCAAATTAGTTAGTTTGAATGTGGCATGTTATTTTTCATGGCGCTACTCAGTTAGAAATTCCTTTCGGTGCCTTTTTCAAATTATTTTATCATTAAGAGTTGTTGATTAATGACAATCGTTGGTATTATGACAATTTGCTTTTTATCCCTCTTGTGAGATGACTTTCTCATTTGATTTTATAGTTCATTTAAAGAACTCTTTTGTATGCTTTTTAATAATTATTATAAATCTTGAATTTTGTGACTAGTGCAAGACATGCGAATAGCTTTGATTACACTATAGGTCTGGAAAAATTATAACGTGCGGGTTTGGATTCGTCCGGAGACCAATAAAAATGTGTCACGTCGCCTCTAAAAAATGTACCACCCTCAGTACCGAGCACCGAACCGGACGGTTCTCCCGTCCAGTGTCTACACAGAATAATCGCTTATAGGTCTGGGATGGCAAACTGCCTTCATTGCTAACAGTCAAGAGTTAAAAAGCTTGAAAAGAAGCTAAAACTTGCTAACTATAGCTGCAAATCAAACAAAGCTTGCAAGGGTGACTAGCCACAACTTGCAGAAAAAATGAACCATAAAGATAGAAAATAAAGGAAAGAGCAATTGAAACAACTTCAAAGGATCATATCGATTGTAAGATTGTCATTATCGAATTCCTGTAGGAACATATTTATAACTCTGTTGGTATTTCAATCATC